CAGTCAGACAAACCAATCATCAGGATGCAAATGCCAGCAATGGCATCTTTTATTAGAATGAATAATTTCAATAATGTTTACAAGCTTTGTTAACAGCTTCTGTATTCTTAATTATTGATAACTTGCACCCTGACCTGTAGGGTGAATTGTGAGTGAGAATCTCCATGTGGAGCAGGGGGACATGTTGAACACTGAAACCTGACTCTGGCTGCCAAGCTGGAAGTTCACTTTCTACCTCATTTTCACAAACACCTTGGTTTGTGAAGTTTTGGTTATTCCTCCACAATATTTCCATTGCTGAATTTTGCATCTCATTTTCTACAGATTTTTTTCATCCATAAAGTTTCTTGTTGAAATTTAATTATAGTTACTTTATAATTTCTGTATTAACTTTTATACTGCATTTTACCGTTTTATGCTATTACAGGGCACTGATAACACATGCAGTGATTAGAAGTTTTCTTCTCCATAAAACTCATCAAATAGGTCATGAACACATGCTCTGTATCTGGCCTCTAGGAGCCTACCTCTCTGTTATTTTTCTTATCTTTCTAATACTCTCAAAAGGGCATTTTCATGACCCAAGATGTTTCTAAGTCCCATTCTATCAGCAGTACCTTCTGGAGCCTTCTTTCTAAAACAACTGTCTCTCTGTCTCTCTCCTACCAACAGTCTGGACTCATTATTAATCTCTCCAACCAAAGGAGGCCCAAGAGGACAGGGGACCGCAGAGCTACAGTGCTTTGTTGGGACCTCCCTCAGGACTGGCATCTTGTATTAAAAGAGGAATTTCTCTTCTGTTATTTCTGTTTTGTAGCCTTGCTATCTGAGTCCGACGCCTCAAATCCTAATTCCAATCCAGGTTTACCCAGAGAACCAGTGTGAGTTCTTCTGTCATTTCTTTGCATTCATTTATTTGTGGTTGCACTGGCTTCCTCTCGTTGCAGCGAGCAGGGGGCTACCCTCTCTTACGGTGCACAGGCTTCTGACTGCAACGGCTTCTCTTGTTGTTCAGCACCGGCTCTAGATGCACAGTCTTCAGCAGTTGCAGCATGCAGGCCCAGTAGTTGTAGCTTGGTTGCTCCGAGGCATGTGGAATCTTCCTGGACTAACGATCGAACCCACGTCCCCTGCATTGGCAGGCAGATTCTTATCCACTGTACCACCAAGGAAGCCCCTTCCATCTTTTCTGAGCCTTACATTTCCTATATTTAAAATGAGGGAATTCCCTGAACTAAGCAGTATATCCTTGTTGCTTACCCATTTTATACATATTGGTTTGTATCCGTTAATCCCATACCTCTAATTTGCCCCTCCGCCCTTGCCATTTCCCTTTGGTAACCACAGGTTTATTTTCTATATCTGTGAGTCTGTTTCTGTTTTGCATATGCATTCACTTGTTTTACTTTTTTAGAGTAACTGTAAATTAATATAATACTGTAAATCAATAGACTTCAATTATTTTAAAAATGAAGTTGGATGATATAAAAGTCCCTTACCACTCAAATGATCTATAATTAAATTAAAAATTAAACACCATTACCCCTTAATCCATTACAGACTAAAACACTGCTAGCTTAGTGTACATTTTAAAATGCCTTCTGTTCCTGAACTGCTAGAAAACGATCAGAAAGGATAGATCAATGTTTATTACAAATGTAAATGGCGCCCCCTGGAGTTTTTCACAGCTTATGCAACCACCTGTAGTGAAAGTGAAAGTGAAGTCGCTGAGTCGTGCCTGACTCTTAGCGACCCCATGGACTGTGCCTACCAGGCTCCTCCGTCCAGGGGATTTTCCAGGCAAGAGTACTGGAGTGGGGTGCCATTGCCTGGCCTGTTCTAAATCCCATTCATTAGCTGAGGTGTACAACAGAATTGGGCTTCCCTGGTAGCTCAGATGGTAAGAGAATTTGCCTGCAATGTAAGAGACCTGGGTTCTATCCCTGAGTCAGGAAGATCCCCTGGAGAAGGAAATGGCAACCCACTCCAGTATTCTTGCCTGGAGAATCTCCATGGACAGAGGAGCCTGCTGGGCTACAGGCCATGGGGTTACAAAGAGCCAGACACGACTGAGAGACTAAGCATGCTCACACGCACACACACACACACACACACACACACACACACTCACACGCACACACACCCAGAATTAGCAGAGTTACAGGATCACCAGTGGGAGAAGGGAAGAAGATAGACAGTAGTACTGACAAGATGTAGCAAAAGGGTACAGTCCAGAGACAAAAATCAGGGACTTCCCTGGTGGTCCAGTGGTTAAGACCGCCCTCCCAATGCAGGGGGGCAGGTTCGATCCCTCATCAGGGAACTAGATCCCGCATGCTGCAATTAAGACCCAACATGGCCAAATAAAAGAGAGAGACAAAAATCGGGTATTTGAAGAGGGAAATTAAAGAATTTTTACTTAGATATAAAATTGAGGGTAACAAAAAAGGCAGAAAGAATCAAGTATCACAGAAGTGGTAATTGTAGGAACAGCTGCCACTAGTGATGGGGAATGAAAGGAAAGGGGTGGAATAATTAATCCTTAGAAGCTAGAAGCTTCTCAGGTGGTGCAGGGTAAAGAATCTGCCTGCCAATGCGGGAGAGGCAAAAGATGTGTGTTCAGTCCCAGGGTCAGGAAGATCCCCTGGAGAAGGAACCAGCAACCCACTCCAGAATTTTTGCCTGGAAAATTCCATGGACAGTGGAGTCTGGCTGGCTACAGTCCATGGGGTTGCAAAAAGTCTGACACAGCTAAGCATGCGCAACTGAGCACCGACTGAGAAGCTAGAGCGGGGGCCCGTCTGGTTGAAATTCAGACCTCTGCAGGAGGCACTGGGCTGGAAGGAGCTGTTCTTCCTGAGGAAGACACCACATGGCTGCTTCCAAGAGTGATGGAAAGCCTGCCAACTGGATTCAGCTGCTACCATGGAAAGGCAGCAGAAAACCACAGAATACATGAAAGTCCCAGCTTCTTCCAGACTGACTCTCAGTGTCCATCTAGACTAACAGTGTCCCAGCTGGTAAGGAAAAAACATAACTGCAGAATCCCAACACAAGTATCATCAAGAGGAAAACAGCTCTTGGGAACTAACGGAATAATAAACAGCACACCAAGTTTGTTCTAAAGCAGAGGTGACAAATAGATTTTATCTATTAATAGCAGCGTATGGTGTTGAGAAAGGTTCTGAGCTTATACTTAATGCAACAGAAGAGCGTCTTGATCATTGAGAATATCTTCCATGGGCAGAAAGAGAGCACGGTGCTTTACAGTTGCCATTTCTGACCAAGGGCCACCTAATTGTCCTGTACCTCTTCGGCATGTCAGCCTCTGGAGACTCAGCAGTATTAGAGGACCCATCTTTGTCCATCTGGCAGAATGTGCGATGGCGGCAAAATAAATTAGAGATCTTGACACAGTCATTTGTTTCTTGACTGTGCTTGAGCAACTCCAGGGATGGAGAATACATCATCTTCATCTTCAGGGAGGTCTGATCCCGAGAAATGTCTTCCTCATAAAGAACTTTGATCAACCTAAATGTAACTCCTGCCCTCTGGCCCCATATCTACCCCTTTCTAAAAGATAGCAGTAAGTCAAATTCTTTCTCCGCATGACTTCTTTCAGATGTTTGAATCCAGTCATCATATCCACCAGATCTTTCTTCTCAAGATGAAGTAGCCTTAATGCCTCCAATGCTTCCTTCCCTGGATGGTATAGAGATACTCTTGTCCTGTCTTCTGAGTGCACTTTGACACATCTCAGCCCCTCCTCAAAGGGGGCCTGAAATTAACACTCCAGATGTGGTTAGAAGAGCACCAAAGAATAAAACAGAGGATGCAGTTCATTCTTTTAAAGATACCATCAGCGTTTCTGATGATCATATCACACAGGATTTTTCTTTCATCTAAAACAATCCTCAGCCCTTCCACCCCCAATTAAACAATCTCCAGTTGCTTCAAACTTTCCCAAGGAAAAACACGTTGTGGTCAATGCAAACTACTAGGAAGTCGCCTTGGAGGAGAAGGCCAACAGCTTTGTGAATGCTTAACGAAGTTAGAAAATTAAGCTCTTTCTTGCTGATGGTGGTTGTCATAAATGTATGCTCCAATGAAAAGCAGCTTAAATCAATTTCCTTGTTCTCACTGAGCTGAAAACTTTGTTATTGTTCCTCCTGCACAATATAGATGCCATAAACCATATCCAAATGTGCAGAAAACAGTTACTTCCACTGGGGATTTCCAGTCAGTTGAGATTTTTATAAGCGATTCTATTCTACCTTTTAACTACATTTTAATTTAAATGTATATTTTAATTGTAACTTTAAAATTATATTCACTATGTAACCAAAGTTTAAAATGATGGCATATTTTAAAAATACTTGCAAAAATCTCTTAGTCAGGGTCTTTAACTATTCCACTTGCATTATTTCTTTTAGGCTCATCTAATTGAACTATAATTTTATGGGGTTTTAGAGTGGTGGGGCATATGATGTGATTGCTGATTACCGAGACCATACTTCTGGGCACATTATCAGAAGAATCTTGGAAATAACAGAGAGTTTAACAAGAACAAAAGTCTTCAAGAAATACCTGATGAAAGTTCCTCAGATACAAGTTCCTAAAGGTTGAGGAAAGAGAGATAAATATAGTTAAATATAGAGAAGTTGGGAGTGTGATATAGAGAGCAGTAGGAGAAGTTCTGATTTGTACATGGCAACCTGAAGGATGGATGATCTGCTGAAGTTAAACATCAATCTTCACATTCTTAAATTTGAGGCCAATCCTCACTTCCAACAATTTCATTTTGAAGGACTAGGGAGTGTGCCACTAAAATGCAAAGTAATTATTTTCTGGATATAAAAGATAAAATTGAAAGGTCAGATATAGATTTCTATGGAAAAATGGATGTCTAAAGATTGTGGATATTAATTTTCTCTTGTCACTGTAACAAATTACCACAAACCCAGTGGCTTAAACAATACAAATTTATTATCTTGCAGTTCTATAAATCAAAATTCTGCCATGGATCTCATGGGTCTGAAATCTACATCTTGGCAGGACTTTGTTCTCTCCTGGAACTTCTAGGTAAGGATCCATTTTGCTGCATTTTCCAGCCTCCATAGGCTGCCTTCATTTCTTAGCTCATAGTGCCTTCTGCCATCTTCAAAACTAGCAATATTACATCTCCATCTGACCTCAGCTTGGAAAGGTTCTCCACTTAAAAGGACTCACATGACTACATTGAGTTTACCTGGATGTTCCAGGATAGTCTCCCCATTTCAAGGCCCTTAACTTAGTTATATCTGGAAAAATCCCATTTGCCATGCAAGGTGAGAGTCACAGGTTCTGGAGATTAGGGCAGGGACATCTTTGGGGGCCATTTTTCTGCCTATTATACTGTGTAAAGCAAAGCTGTGACAACACTCCAGAGAGCAAATTGTTTGCAGGGGACTTCCTCAGAGGAAGATCATTTCCTTCCATCTCATGTATGTTTTTAGGACAAAATTCACAATTTAATATGCCCTCCCCAAAGAAAAGGGGATTCTCAGATGACACCAGTGGTAAAGAATCCACCTGCCAATGCAGGAGACACAAGAAACACAGGTTCAATACCTGAGTTGGGAAGATCCCCTGGAGGAAGAAATGACAACCCACTCCAGTATTCTTTCCTGGAAAATCCCAAGGACAGAGGAGCCTTGTGGGCTACAGTCTATGGGGTCACAAAGAGTCAGACTTGACTGCACATGCACGCAGAAAATATAAGAAGGCAGCTACCTACAAGAAAAGGGATGGGAATTGATGGGAAGTGATCTAGAATGATGGCTGAGTCCAGATGAGGTACAGATTGGTTATGCCAGGGACTCTTCTTAATACTTTATGTAGATGAATTTATTTAGTCTGGCCAGTTAATAGGGGGGTTGCGAGTGCTGTAGTTAGTCACTCAGTCATGTCCACCTCTTTGTGACCCCATGAACTGTAGCCCACCAGGCTTCTCTGTCCATGGGGATTCTCCAAGCAAGAATACCGGAGTGGGTAGCCATTCTCTTCTCCAGAGCATCTTCCTGACCCATGGATCAAACTCAGTCCTCCTGCATTGCAGGCAGATTCTTTACCATCTGAGTCACCATGGATACTAACAATGTTTTTACCAAAATTCGGTGATTTACATTTGAGTCAAGATTATCTCTATGACGGCACTCTTGCTGTTACATTATGATATGACTTTCTGGTTATTACATAAATGTTGGAGAAAGAACAAGCATTGACCTGAGTCGGTGGTTCTCACACTTCATTGGGCCTAAGGATCACCAGGAGTACTTTGTGAAAATTCAGATTACTCAACCCTAACACCAGAGAGTCTTTTAGATCTTGGAATCTGTATTTCTTTGGGAAAAAAAATTCTGAGAGTTTCTCTTTTTTTTAATCATTTTATTTATTTGTTTTTGGCTGTGCTGGGTCTTCTTTGCTGTGTGGGCTTTTCTCTAGTTGATGTTCCTGGGCTTCTTATTGCAGTGGCTTCTCTTGTTGGGGGTTCCCTGGTGGCTCAGATGGTAAAGAGTCTGCCTGCAATGTGGGAGACCCGGGTTCGATCCCTGGATCGGGAAGATCCCCTGGAGAAGGAAATGGCAACCCACTCCAGTATTCTTGTTTGGAAAACCCCATGGATTAGGGATCCTGGTCAGCTACAGTCCATTGGGTCGCAAAGAGCCAGACATGACTGAGCCACTTCTCTTTCTTTTCTCTCGTTGCAGAGCACAGGCTCTAGGGCACACAGGCTTTAGCAGTTGCAGCGTGTGGTTCCCAGGCTCTAAAGCACAGGCTCAATAGTTCTGGCACACGGGCTTAGTTGCTCTGCAGCGTGTGAGATCTTCCCGAACCAGGAATCAAACCTGTGCCTCCTGAATTAGCAGGTGGATTCTTTACCACTGAGCTGCCAGGGAAGCCCCCGGGCATTTCTGATAGAGGCTTCCCTGCACACATTAAGTGCAATATAGAATGTTTGAAAAAACTGCTATTGGATGATCTCCCTGGGGCATCCCACTAAGTCCTGATAAGGCGCTCACAAAGAACTCCACATTTATCCCATTAAAGCATATACCACACTATATGGTAATTGCCCATTTGTTTATCTGTCTCCCCCTCTAGGCTTTAAGGTCAAGACTGTGCCTCTCTCAGTAAGTCGTCTCTATTGCCCACCCGACAGTCCACAGGTATAGGTGCTCAATTAGCCATTTGTTTTCAAATGCATGGGCGAATGAACAAATCAATGATGAAGCGATCTAAGATCACACAGAAACACATCTGGATGGGTGCATTGAGAGCCCCACACGCCTCGTTTAGTTGAAAGTATGCAGGTAGGAGGGGGAAAATATGAAAAAAATAAAGAACACCATAAGCTCACTGTTGAAGGACAGAATATAAGCATATGAACCAAAGCCCTCATAGAGCTGTAGAAATAGGCAGCAGTCTCAGCATTGTTAGGTGAGGACTTCTACCAGCAAGAGACAGTCAGCGGCCTCAGGGGAAGACAGTGTGCGAGCTCTTTTCACAATATTGTACTGACTTCAGAGTTATTTTGCATTTTGGAGAGCAAGTGATATCCTACAAATAAACCAATAAACAACGACAAACATTTGTGATCTCTCAAAGCAATTGTGTTGTAGAAGGACTGACCTGAACCACCTAACATGACTATATAGTAGGGGGATTATAAATATCACCAGATCATTTATACAAACTATCTAGCACCAAGCTAGGCACAGAGCAGGTACTCAGTAAGTACTTGTTGGATAATCAAGTCTCAGGAAGCTTTGGTCAGCACACACCAGTCTCAGCATGACTCTGTTTCTACTATGACAAGCTAAAGGGACCCACGTTTATCATTCCAGGAGGACCCACTGCACTATTTCCCTTGGCCCCTCCTCCACTAAATTTTAAGATTTTTTTTTCTCCTGGAATATTTTCCTCTTGTAAGAAAAACGTTTCCTAATGAAGATGAAGATGTTGCTTTCATCTGCCAAGAAATTTAAACACAAAATTTGGGGAGTAAGCTGTGACTCTGAGGACAGACTGTAACTTATAAATTTTAACCCCATTGTCTTCCTGGGCTAAGACCCAGTAGTGTGACTGTCAGCAACATGGTGCCTTTCAGTGATACAAAATGCTTGCTCACAGGCCATGCTTTCATGAAACTTGTTCTCACAGTTAGAACAAGGACAGGTGATGCCCTGATGCATATTAGCATTTATAGCCATTCTTCCCCATAAGACAGCTAAGAGAGTGATCAAAAATGATGTCTCTCAAAATAAAAAGTCTAAAACTTGGTATGTTCCTCACAGAACATGGACAAAAAGAAATACACAGTACAGCACCAAAATTTCTTAATACCTATGAATTTTATGCTTCACTAGTGCTAATGTGTTTCTCAAAAGCTTGTGGGGAATATTAATTTTCACAGAAATAATGATTAATGTGGGTCAGGCTACTATTGTATGGTGAATGATGAGAATTCCTTATTTTCTTAGTATATTACACTATAAATTTTTTCATTGAAATTGTTACCTCTATAGCACCTGTGTTCTAAGGCTGGGCAGCATGATTCACCGTGTTTAGTAAATAAATTTAAATCTGAAGTAAGTGGTTAGATGTGAATCCAGGCAATATGGTTTCTGAGCTCAGAGCTTGAATGTATCCTTCCTTGATTGGGTGATGTTCTATGGAGTTTTGTTCCACAACTGAGCATATGGAATTATGAGAATAAGACCCAAAAGAGCGGACATAGGGAAGCTGTATTGGGTAATTCCCTGGTGGTCCAGTGGTTAGAATTCTCTACTTTCACTACCGAGGGCTTGGGTTCAATCCCTGGTTGGGGAACTAAGATCCCACAAACCGCTTGGTGTGAGCAAGAGAGAAAAAAAAGTTAACTGTATTTGACACAGCTTTAAGCATGACTTCATCTCCTTCTGTTCCCACCCCTGCTTCTGGTCAGTGCTGTGGTGACTTTGATCAGCCTTGCACAGGGGCAGCCTGACAGCCTGACAACACTTCACCTCCAGGCCTGTCCGTGCCTCCTGCCCTGGGGCTCCTCTGAAACTGGCAGCTGGTTTCCCCAGGACACACTCGGCACTCAGGTATGCAGTTTGGAAATGCAAAGGAGTTAGTGTCTCTGAGCCTCCCTTGACTGACAGGTGCGTGCTAAATATTTTCAGTCATGTCTGACTCTTTTTGACCCAATGGACTGTAGCCCGCCAAGCTCCTCTGTCCATGGGTTCTCCAGGCAAGAATACTGGAGTGGGTTGCCATGCCCTCCTCCAGGGGATCTTCCTGGCCCAGGGATCAAACCCGTGTCTCTTATGTCTTCCTGCACTGGCAGGCATGTTCTTTACCACTAGCGCCACCTGGAAGCCAAATATTAATAGTTCTTTCTTTTATTCCTGGGGCAAGTAATTGTGGGATACATTTCCTAAGGTTCCCCAGAAGGTACTCTGGAATAAAGTATAGTCAGCATCGTTTAGCACAATAGCCAACTCAATAGTGCTTTCTTGCTTTGGTTTTCCCACATTCCCGGTTCACTCTCTTTGCCTAACAGTTGCTCTCTGGGATCACATTCCCCAAAATCCCTTTAATGCAGCCTTTATTTAAGGGTTAAGAAAATCCCCCTCCTACTGTTTTAAGTATTAATATTCATAAGGCATGCATGCTGACATTCTTAATTATTCATTAGTTAGTCATGGAATTCTTCTATCCATATAAGCTCAGAATCCCTCTGAACACAAGATTCCCAGGAGACGTTGTCAGTTCATTGTCTCCCTGTTCTCTGACTCTCATTCTGTAATCAGCTGGAATCTATAAATGCTGGGAGATCTAAGATGCCTCTGCTAACTAGTCAGTGTGGTCATTTGTTGTAATGTAGATATTGAGAAGTAGACTAGCCTAACTCATTAGCTTAGTAACTCTTATCTTTTTAATCTAGAAGAGTTCCACCATCCTTTTTTGTCTTTCATAGCATTTGCATCACATCGAGTTACATAACCAACGTCCACTCAAAAAAAAAAGAAAGATTACATAATGTCAGTTATTTCACTGTTAGATGATGTCAAATTTGATCATTTATTTAAACTCATGTTGGCTAGAATACTATAAGAATTTCTCCCTTTGAAATTATTTCTCCCTTTAAAATTGATAAGTGATCTATGAACTGGTACATTGAGGTTATGTGAACATCTTGTTTCCCAATATATTTCTACCTAATTGTTTTGGCAGCATCTGGTGATTCTTGGCTGAATCATTATTATATTGATCATTTCAAAAGATGGTGATTTTCTAATTTCATAATTGCTTTTATCTAGTGTCCTTCAGTAAAAGAGGAGTTTCCCCTTGAGAAGGTGAATTTTTCAAATGGTATGTACTGAAATTTTCTTGTAAACTTTGGTGTAAAAAGTATTTAGTAGCCCATGAAATATCTTGCCTGGTTCAGAAACAACTCTGAAATAAAACTATGATGTTAACTCTTATGGATTTTCCAGACTATCAGTGTCCCAGTGACTCATAAAAGCATGAAAATACATAACCAGAAATGGATTTCCCAGGAGGCGCTGGTGGTAAAGAACCTGCCTGCCAATCAGTGCAGGAGATGTAAGAGACATAAGTTCAATTCCTGGGTCAGGAAAATCCTCTGGAGTAGGAAATGGCAACTCACTCCAGTCTTCTTGCCTGGAGAAACCTGGAGACAGAGAATCTTGGTGAGCTACAGTCCATAGAGTTGCAAAGAGTCAAACACAACTGAAGTGACTTATTCTCACATGCTAGCCTAATTACCTGTGTGCTGATGTCCTTAGTTTGAAAACTAAAAGTGAAATGGGGCATATTAGCTTTCATTGTATTTCTTTAATGAAACTGGAGATGGTCATTTTTCCAAGCACCGTGACAGAGGGAAGAAAGGAAAATTATTCATCAGAAAGTTGCCAGAAGATCCTTGGACTCCCTGGCACTCCCTTTTCCCACTCCAGTCCTTTTCTTTGCACTAGTTTGCAAAATCTTCATAGACCAGGACCACAGGCAGGACTTCTGGGAAGAACCCACATGCTCCCAGCTACTTGCATATGCTTGTGTTTTGTGCTTTCCGGTGTTTCCCTGTGATGAGACGGAAATTCTGAAAGTGTATATAATGATGCAGCAGTCATTTTCATTAGCATGACATCATGTGGGAGATGACAAAATAAGAATCTGAGTGTTAGAATCAGATGGTCACAGACTCACGTGAAGTGTCTGTGCTATGCTGCCTCAGGCAAGACAAGAAAGAAAAAGAAGAGACATGGGCTCTGTCCTTAGGAAATTTATCATCTAGATTATACATTCATATGTATATATGTGTGTGTGTATCCATTATTTATTGCATACATATGTGGATAAAAGATACATTATTGAATACTTACTGTGTGATAAGCATCTCAAAGATACCATCATATACTTCATGTGTGCCCTGTGTGGTTGGCATTATCATCTTCATTTTACTAATGATTAAACTAGACAATGGGCTTCCAAGGTATTGCAGTGGTAAAGAATCCTCCTGCCAATGTAGGAGACACAAGTGATGTGAGTTCGATCCCTGGGTCAGGAAGATCCCCTGGAGTAGGAAATGGCAACCCACTCTAGTATTCTTGCCTGGAAAATTCCATGGACACAGGAGCCTGGTGGGCTAAATCCATGGGGTCCCAAGGAGTGGGACACAACAGAGAGACTGAGCATAGCATACAAACTAAACAATAGATGTAAAATGGGTAATTCTGAATATTCAGTCCTAGTAAGTCCTAGTAATGAGTATACATCATGTGCCAGGCAATACATGAAGCCATATGTGTTCCTTATGGTTCTTTACAGTCTGATTGGGAAATGAGGGCTAACACAAATGAAATTTCAGAAAAGACCATAAGGATGGCTTCTATTAAGCATCAGGTTGAGTGATGTAAACTGTTGTGGAAGGTTAAGAGGAGATCAGCAAGAGGGCGTCAGAAAGGATAAAGGTGAACTGAAGAGTGGGTTTTCTAGCAGGGGAACAACAAAAGAACAGAAACTTCATGTGGGAAACAAACATTCATATTGCAATTAATGCTTTTTATCCAATATGGATGTTAGGATAAGATAGAACCCAAAGGGTCTAAGTCTATGAAAACTTTCTATGGTATTGAATATGTAGTTGGCATCTGTTATATTTTTGGTCTATTTCTTCCTAATGGAAACCTCTGTCCTACTCTACATGTGATTCAGGTACAGTGGCCAGTCAAGGGGTTTCAAGGGGCTCACTATTTATATCTGAGAAATGAGTGAGAATATATGTGGGTCAGCCAAACAGAATCTTTCCTAGAGATTAACAAGAGTTTCTTTCTGGGAAATAGTGAGTTCTAGGGACCATTTCAGGCCACAGCTCTAGAGATCAGCTAGTCACTGGCAGGAGAGAGACTTGACAGAAAATAACCCAAATCAGGCTCATGTAGCCAGTGGTCAGAGATAACAGTCCTGATGAGATTATAAGAATGCATGGATCGAACCTGACCTGAAGGCAATCACTGGGCTTCCTAGGTTTATCTGCTTTGATTACATTACTTTGATTTAAGTTTTTGATACTTATCAACCAACACAATCCTGATTAATACAAAATGGAACAATGGATGGAATAAGACGTAGAACCATGAGTCATAGGCATGGGGCCTCCAGCAGAAAGACTGGAGAAATTGCTGAGAAGTAGTCTCTTGGCCCTGTATCATTTTTTGAGGGATAACTCCTATGATTTTCACTATCCAGTCAATAAAACAAAGTTATGTCTTTACCCCCATAAAGAATTTGCGAAGTTCTAACTAAGCCTAGAAAAAGACTTTGAGATCTCTAAGCCAAAGATAAAATAGTAAAAGACTAATATTTATCATTAAGCATCCTAAATAAGTATTGTTCCATTTCTTCTTATTTAGACACATTTGAGTGTGTTAGTAAGAGAAAATGCACTTTTCAAGAACCAAACATCATTTATTTAACTTGGACCATCTGTTTTATGATTTCTTTTTAGGAGACATTTCACACCCTGCTGCTTTCAAGAGAACTGCTGTCTTCCTGGTCTATAACCCTCTCATTTCTTCTGTATCTTCATCACTTAATTAGTCCGTCTGTCAGCCAATCCATCTTTCTCTCTTTTCTTTCCCCTCATTTTCCACCTCAGAAAGAAACCTCTAACTGATAGAGGCAAATGACTCCTAGATAATTATCTTCTAAAAGGAATATAATGCATTTTTTATGTATCCACCAAATGACATGCTCTCCGTTCCTCCTCCTACTCTCATCCAGAAAGCAGTGACTTGCCTGCCTTCACATCTTAAATGAAAGTAAACTTTATTCTTTAGCTCTGGCTCCTAACAGCCATAACTTATAGCAATAAAGGTTAATGTATTGGGTGGAAAGGAAGTAAATTTAAGGTAATAATGAGAATGATTCTTTATCATTCCTGACAGATCTTGAGCTCTGTGTAGGCAGTAATTAAAGAAGAGCTTCGGAGACCATAAAAACATAAATAAGATTTCTAGTAAAAGTCTTTATTGTAGCTAGGACTTTTTTATTGTAGTCTGGGCTGAGTTGGGAATACCCTCATAGGCTTTGTTAAGCTTTTTCACCCAGAGGGGAAAGAGGCAGTACAAGAGTGGGTTCCCTGTCAATGGGCAGGTCTGCCCTCCAGCAGGCATGGAAATATGGAGAGGGTGTAGAGAGCTACCAAAGCTCTTTAAAGTTTGACCAGAGACTTCCCTAGTGGACCGTTGGTTAAGACTTCACCTTCCAATGCAGGTGGTGTTTGACCCCTGGTCAGGCAGCTAAGATCCCACCTGCCTGGTGGCTAAAAAAACCAAGCCAAAACCAAAACAGTGTCATAACAAACTCAATAAAGACTTTAAAAATGGTCCACATCAAAAAAAAATTTAAGGAAATGAAATTAAAAAATAAAGTTTGGCCAGAATTAATCCCTGAAAAAAGCCATGGACACCAGGACCACCTGGGCCGGTTCAGGGTGAAAGCATGTCAGTCTAGCAGAAAAACAACTCAGTTGCCAGCACCCAACATGCCTTGACTTGTTTGTTTTTAGAAATATGATTGACATATAATGTTATATTAGTTTCAAGTGCATAACATGATGATTCAGTATTTGTATATACTGTGAAATAATAACCACAGTAAGTCTAGTTAAAACCACTACCACACATAAACTAATTTTTTTCTTGTGATGAGAACTTTTAAGATCTATTCTCTTTGCAACTTGCAAATTTGCAATTCAGTATTATTAACTATAGTTATCAAACTGTACATTACATCCCCATGACTTATTTATTTTATAATTAGGTATTTGTATCTTTTGACCATTTTCATCCATTCTACCCACCCCACTCCCCACCTCTGGCAACCACTAATCTGTTCTCTGTATCTATGTTCGGTTTTTCTGTTTTGTTTTTAGATTCTACATATAAATGACACATATGATATTTGTCTTTGCCTGGCTTATTTTATTTAGCATAATCCTCTCAAGGTTCATCCATATTGTCACAAATGCAAGATTTTTTATTGTGGCTGAATTATATATGCTGTATATATACAGCATATATAATCACATTTTCTTTATCCATTCACCCAACGATAAACACTTAGGTTGCTTCCATGTCTTGGTCATTGTAAATAATGCTTCAATGAACATTGAGGAGGGATATATATTTTTTAATTAATGTGTTTACTCCCTTTGAATAAATACCTAGAAGTGAAACTACTGGATCATATGATAATTATATTTTTAATTTTTTGAGGAGCTTCCATACTATTTTCCATAGTGCCTACAACAATTTATATTCCCACCAGTAGTGCATAAGTGTTCCCTTTTCTCCACATCCCCACTAACATTTGTTATCACCTGTCTTTTGAATAATAAGGATTCTAACACACGTGAAGTGATATATTGTGGTTTCAATTTATGTATCCCTAATGATTTGTGATACTGAGCCCCTTTACATGTACCTGTTGGCCATCTTAATATCTTCTTTGGGAAAATGTGTATTCATATTTTCTGCCCATTTTTTAATTGGATCATTTGGGGGGGTTGCTATTGAGTTTTATGGCTTCTTTATATATTTTGTATATTAACCCCTTATCAGATATATGATTTGCAAACATTTCCTTCCATTTGATAAATCGTGTTTTCATTGTGTTGATGGTTTCCTTTGCTGTGCAAAAGCTTTTTTGTTTGATATAACCCCTGTTTATTTTTGCATTTGTTGCATTTGTTTTTGGTGTCAAATTAAAATAATCATCACCAGTACTGATGTAGAAGAGCTTACTGCCTGTGTTTATCTAGAATTTTTATGGTTTCGGATCTCATG